TTTTTCCCACATAAGCGCGGGTTATGGCCCCAAGGCGTAACTAACTCCTTGTGCCAGCCCCGCGCTTATACCCAGAGAGACTTGATGAAGAATGGATCTGTGGGAATTGGCCTGCTTGCTCCCGCCGCACCTCCCCCGGGCCCCGAGTGGCCATAGCGACTCCCTCATCCTCCTCCGGCAGCCTGACTCGACCTCCGAACGCCACCCGGTGTTCCCGGCTCGATATGTACTGGTCCTTCCACAGCCTTCCACCCATCTTCACGGCCCATTTAAATATGTCTTCAATCCAGAGTCATCGGCGTGACCCTCGGGCCGGATCTGTGCTCGCGCAAAGCTTTGGAATGCTAAAAAGCCCCCGAAATCGTGTCTGCGCGGAGATTGCCCAGTTGTCTTTTGAAGTGCTCTGGATTTCAGGTAGGAGAAATATGGACAGATACATACAGTTATTGAGTAAAATTCATGGAAAGATATCGGTCAGGGAGAATACCCGTCAAACCCTCGACAGGGGCAAAACTAGATGATTACTTCCCCTGACCTCCTTCTTTTGAATCATATTAGCAGATTTGAGCAAAAAAGTCTGGTGTCAGATATCCTCCGGGAGACCCCGGCCCCAGGCCTGATATCTACATGATCTGGATTTAGGGCCTACATAGGCTGGTCGAAGTCCGGCTTCGGGAGAGCGGATCATGAGAACCCACTTAATGGTAGTCTTGTCGGGAAAAATAATGGCTCATGAGCGGTGTGGGTGGATACATTTCCAAGCGCCTATCAGGGCATCCAAATTCGATCATCTCCTCACAAGCACACATGTTAAAACGATCGAATGTGACTCTCAAGCAACAGTACTACAAATAAGGACTGATAAAGTTACTATCCGAACTTGATTAATCATGAAGTTATGTGTAATATAAACATACAATTAAACATATAGCAACGTTTCAAGGAATGGCATGCTTTATTTTTGAAGACTTTGTGATAATAAATTAAACTGTTCTAGGTGATTATCGTGATACCAATTTGCTATCAGAAATGCTGAAGCATTAACAAGAGTTGCCAAAGTCACATCCCCTAAGAAGCATTCAATCAGTTTCAATTGCATCTCTCCGAACAATCTGTGCTTTTGATAGGCCTTATCAAACCACGGTGCAACATCTTTGCCAGATTTAAAGGTCCCTATGAGAGGCAAGCTATCCGCGGGCTTTGTGATTTGATGGATGATATATTGAAGCAGCTTTTCTCTCCTGTCCTCGAATTCTGATTTCCCCACTTTCAATCTTTCTAAGATACCTACATGTAAAAAATCCACTGATTTGAGCACGCTTCTGAGCTTAGCCGTCATGTAGTTTTCATCGTATGTTGATCCGCCGATTGAGCTTGTGATCCTCAAGATCCGCGGGCCATCATTTGTTTTGGAAAAGAACATGATGATTGGGATTTTTGGATGATAGCTTCTGAGAAATGCCTTGTGAATGATCACCTTTTGTATATGTGCCTGAAAGTCTGAAATCGGTGCCATAAACAATTTATAGTCTGGATCGGCTGGATGAATTTTCGATTCCAGTGTTCTCTGATATCTTGAGTCAACAGCTATGTTCGATATAAAATTCAATGCTTCCTTGAAATGTGGTTTGATTGAAATCTCACTTGGCTCCTCGTAGGCGAGATTGGGTGGTTCAGTTAAGGCTGAATATTTGCCTGCCGAGTCATGCAAGGGTTCATAGATCAATAAGTAAATCTAATACTGCTTTGTTTAAGAAGCAGTAAGGAAGCATATGCTACCTTTGACAGCAAAAGTACCAACTCACTCAAATTTGGACCTTGATACGCCTTCAGGAGACGGAAGGTCGTAAGGTGCATATTTGCACCAGCATCCCCTCGGCTTTGAGAAAAATATCTTATCAATTCCAATTGAATAGGACCGAATTTCATCCTGTGATCATTCACTCTCCACAACAGGTACGGTTCCTTGACAAGTCCTAATATCGGAGGACTTCCAACGGGACTAAAGATGGATTCATCCAACCAGTCTAAGAGTTTTTCTTGTTCTATTCTGTGAGCCAATGTTGTTATGCTGAAGAAGCTCGATAAAAAATCACCATGAAGCTTGTACAATGATGCTATCAAATGGTTATATAACCAAGATAGCTCAGTATTGGCCTGAGCGAATTTTTTGGAATCATTCAGCACCCTAAACACCTTTCCGTAGTTTGCGTTTATCTGACGAAACCGGGCGAACGGCAAGGATGTGTGCGTGTCTTCTGGAGAACGAAGGTAGATCTGCAAGCCCTTGATCTGTCGATTGAATTTGAGACTGTGTTTATGGAGTAGTTCCTCGACAACTTGCGCTTTGATGATTGACAACCCATACTTGGAATCGTTGAGGTTCGCCTGCTCCGTGAATGATGTAACCGGCAATTTGGTTTCCGGTGGTCCAATTTTCAAGCGCTTCGATTGCTGACTGGATTCTAATATCGCACAGGACAATCTGGCTTTGGAGAGGGGATGAGGGGTAAACCACTCAAAGTATATATGCTACAGCGCTCAACAATTAACTTTACTAACGTTGCTTATGGTTACTGCCATTGTCAGGGACAGGTTGACTTGTCTTGCTTGCCACCATCAACTCATCCACAGCGGCTATTTCTTGAGACCTCGAGTGGTCCTGGGTCGGATTGTCTTGTGCAGTGGGCCCTGGGATGATAGATTCTGCATGCACATATTTATAGAGCCTTCGTAAGTTTGATTTACCCTCACAGAGAGAAAAAGCCAAGCGGGATTTCACCAGAGGGGGGATCAACCGAAGCAAGCAGTTGACACGCAGGGCTGGTAGGTTGATTTACGCTGAAAGGTTGTCCTCCTTCAGATGTTCGCTCCGATGGGGGTTTTATTGTTCTCATCCTCGTGATCAGCTCAGTCGGTGGGACTTTGGATAGAAGGACTTCATCCGAGCTTCCTGGCGGCGGCTGGTTCAAGTCGAATATCAGCTCGGGAGTTGCGATCCTGGATGATAGGGCTTCATCCAAGGTCCCTGCCGGCGGATGATTCAAGTCAAGAAGCAGATGTCCTCTGGCCAAAAGAAACGTCAAGGACCACCATGTGATGATGCTAGGAAATCGGGAGAAAGCATGCTCCAGAGTAGCAATCAAAATCATTTGGATAAGATTCAGCAGGTCAATTGATCTTCTAGCGTTCACCTGCATCAGCTACCATGATGTTGGGTTTGGTTTGCAGCAAGACATTCTACGGCGGATAAATTGAGAGGCCACCTAAAACTTAAATTTCCCAGGAACAGCCGCGAACCCCAGCTGTACACCACTTTTAAGGGTTCGTATTAGTATTACTTGAAACATGCAAGGGCAGAAGTTTGGCATGTCCATCTGACTTAACACAAGTCACCGGAAGTCACAGGTCCTGAGAGGGCGCGGCCTCGGAAAGAGGAAACGCGAAAGGACATTTGTTCGAACTTGTATCGTCTCAACAGATTGTCTATGTACACCGAGTTCACATGTTTGTTGGACTTGCACATGTTCTGCTACTGGGTTATCATTATGACCAGCTTATTTTCTTGATTTTTCTAGGATTTGAAGGAGTGTAAAGGGCATCACTCAAGATCGCCAATGATCAAGGACTGTTGGAAACACTGTGCCACATCAACACTAGCATAAAGTCATATGCCAATTCTCAACATTTGGTTTAAACATTGATAATTGTGTGATTTGTCCAGAAAGATAATCCATCACCTAAAATTGTTTTCATCTCTGACACTTTTTATAGGTATACCTTTAAGGGTGCCCTACCTTCAATGTGACATATTGCCATCATAAGTTTGCCTGGCTCAAGTACTTGACGATGTCTAGCAAATTAACTATCTTTTGAAATATTTTTTTGGAGCCCAAGTATCTGGCAGATTCAAAGACAGTGCAAAGTAGATTAACAATCATCAAATACACCATTACATAGTGACAAAATTTTGGGCTGGACTTGGTCAGAGCTCAGATCTTTAGTTGTCAATTCCGATCTCAATCTGTCATCTTTGAAGAAGCCAGTCTGCTACTCCAGAAGTCTTAGGCCCCTTTTTCCTGCATGATAATCAAGCATGGTAATTGTTGTGAGGTCAAGTGAAATTGTGGTGAAACCTCACTTTTGGCAGTAAGAATCTTCCATGTCACTGGGTGAGCTGCTGTGCTTTGTTGTATACATGTTGTCTGTACAACCCTCCAAGACCAAGTTTGTGCCCATTTTCTGCAAGCTGAGTGAATCTAAATTCTAAGGAAGAATGAAGATTGTGTCTCTGCTTTCCTGTTTCAATTGCCTGCCTTTCAATTGGTGTTCTATAGTCAAAAAGCCCGGGTCGGCCCGGACCCGACCTCACTCATCCCAAACCCGACTGACCGGTTCTCAGACGGGTTTGGATTTGGGCAGCATATTTTTAATGCTGACCCGACCCGACCCGAAGCAAGCCTTGGGTCGGGCTCGGGCACTGTCTTTCAGCCCCACCCCGCCCGATTACCGCCCTGGTTTCAGAACTCGCGTGTCTGACGTCATGTCCAAGCTTCAAGCGCGTCGGGCGCAGTGCAGGAGCGCAGTGATCACTTGACTTCGATCGGAATTGCCTGTTCTTCCACTCCCCGGGGCTTCCTTCAACTCCCGTACCAAGTCCCAACGCTTTCATCAGAGGCCCTGGTTCCGTTGTTTTCCCCAGAAACTCCGAACATCAACAAGTGCATGCTGTGATCGGGAACCGCAGAACCGAAGTGTAAAGCTCAGCCGAAAACCCCAAAAACCTCACCAAGTTGAAGAACAAGCATGGCGAGCTACTTACCAAAACTATTCAACCGGTCTTTCCCAATCGTATCGACGGCGCGCCGTTCAATCTCGATCTCTGCCGTCCTTGCTGTCGAACCTAAGGTACCCAAGCTGCTCAACTCACTCCTTCATGGCTCCGAGGAAGCTCGAAAACAGAACGAGGCTTACCAAAGCCATAGTACTACCGTCGGCTCCAAAACGATAAGCGAGGTTCAGAGTGAGTAAAACCCATGATAGGATTCTTCAAATCACCTTCTATCCCATCCAAGACGACTGGTATCTGATTTATCAATCGTTTTCGCTCCCTTTTGGGGGTTTTTGACTGAATAGAACATCGGGTCCATCCTCAGCATGTTGATCAATACAAAGAAATTATGTTAGTATAGACTCGATTTCTTCCACGTAGTCTTGATTCAATTCTCCAGACGCAAACACTTAAGAATCAATTGGCATTCCTGGATAATTTGGACCAATCAAAAACAGAGGCGCATACTTTGAAAAACTCAGTTCTCAAAATGATCTCAACATGACTTTGAAGGGCTCTTTTGAAGTACTCGTAGGGGAGCTTGATACCTTTGGTAAGTGTTTCCTCAGCCGGTGCCATTCACTTCCTGTTCCTAGTTTGATCTTGTTTCTTATCTGTGCACGTTTTGATTTTTTTTTGGGTATGCTGATGACTCCCTCGGCTTCATCCCATGAAAGTACACATCTGGGAGTTCGATGGGTACAAGGGATACGATTACGCCACAAGCAAAATGCGTGAACGACCGGTTAGTCATCTGCATGTTAACTCTCAACTCGATATATTTTAGTCTGCTGAATCCAAAGAAGGGTTTATTGATTTTGGGTAGGAGCATCAAGAGTTTACCAAAAGCATCAGATCACTCGTCCATTCCAGAAACTCTCAGCTTTGCAGAGAGTTTGCGTTCTGGCCATGCTCAGGACCCAAAGTCAACGGAGGGATCTATGAGATGAGGAGCTATCAGTTGGTATGATCTTCAGCAAAATTGACAATCTACTCCTGCTTTTCAAACTTCCTCATTGGGCATTTAATATTGAGAGATCTGTGGATGATTGTAGAAACCAGGCACGCTATTGGAGTGGGAAACTGAATGGAGAAGAGGCTTAGAAGCCCGCAGGAAATTTGTCGAGCCGATTGGTGCGTGGTTTGCTCAAGTGGGCAGGCTACACCAGGTCCATCACATGTGGCAGTACCCGTCTCTACAAGCTCGGCTAGAGTTACGCGAAAAGGCCTGGCAAGTTGACACCTGGAGCAATACCGTCTCCAACGTCAGTCACGTTTCCTCTTTTTTTGTACCTCTCGCCTTTCTGCACTGACTCACATTCATCCAATTTCTCGCATTGTCTCATCCGTTTATTCATTTTACAGACTGTCAAGCTTTGCGATTCGATGGATGCCAATGTGTTATTACCCAACAGTTTCAGTCCCCTTCGCTAACTGCGAACCTGTATGTCGATAATGTTGTTTGTCACTCGTAAGAAATGTGTATGAGATATGATTTTGTGGTTGTTTCTTTAAGAAAATTAAGAAAAAAAATCAAAACACAATGTGTGGTGCTTCTAACTAACTAGCTTCTTCCTCCTACTGAAGCATATTCTGCTTGGCTGAGGGCTTTCTTGGTCAGAAATGATTGCAGAAAAAACAACTTATGAAATTTGCAAAACATTCCATTAGAACAGGGAGGGGACCTTTGGGATACATTAGAATGAGGGTATATTTTTTTGGGTGTGGATGAAATAACTCCTAAAAGTCTGTGAACAGTGATTTCAGAATTTGAACATCATTTGTCTTGGAATAGAATTATGTCACTTTAAGCCTTGCAAGAACTGTGAAATTACATGCTCAATGGAAAAACTTAGACAGTATGAGTCTAAGTTAGCAGTAAAACAGCCAAATCACTGTGTACTGTCAAACTCTTCTAACTGCATACCTCTTGTTGGACTGAATTTGCTATGTGGTTTGGCAGGTTATGCACTTACAAGGATGAGCTACAGGCAAAAATGAACATTTGGTGGACCCAAATGAGTACGTGGTAGGGGGGTTTATGCCCTTGCACTAGTATGTGGTTAGACAGGTTTGACTGTCAGCTAGGTGAAAGGTTCACAATGCTTTGATAGAAATGGCAGAATAACTAGCTGCTGCAACTTTACAAAAGTGTTACTTCAGGGGACTGGCTGTACACATTTGCAAAACTTCAAACTTGCCCTCAATTAAGTTTTCACAATAGGCACATTGGATTGGTTCATTAGTCTGTCTAAGAAAGTTAAAAAAAATTGGTGTCACCGACAAAGCCTCAGGGTCCTTAGGCTTGGGCAACAAAGATGTATTTCTCTAATTCCAGTAAGCTTGATCTTTTTCCCTTTGAAAATTGTGATAGACCATATTGATGCTTCTTGTTCCATACTATCACCTGATGAGCCCAATCAATCTCATAGGCTTCCAAACTCAGGTTGATTTTGTGTGATGCCGTATGGCTAGGAATTGTGACCGCTCTAATCTATCTTGTCTGCGCCATAATCTATTTATCAACTCTCCTGTAAACTGACATCGCTTCACATGAAGCCCATTGAATCTGGTGGGCTCTACTGCACGACCAACATGATTTTTTTTTTTTTAAATATTCTTGGAGTAGTCGGTCATAATCCAAAGAGCTATTGGCTGCAAGCAGTATGCAAGAAGCCGTGAATTGAAGGGAAGCCGAAGCGGTCTTGTGATAGTCATCCTTGGCTTGAGTCCTTGACAGGATGGTAAAAACGCGCTGCGATCCAACGGATTGAATTATAGCTGAGCCGCTCAGCCTTTCCACCGTGATGGACGTGGATGACAGTCTCTTCTGGGCTCAGCGGTTACATCTCTTCCTTTCAGCATTGGAAATGCACTGGCAGAGCAGCATCAGCAAAAAGGAAGTAGAAGCAGACAAGCTCGGCAGCAAATGGAAACACATTTCTAAATAGCCAAAGATTGCACCCGTCTCGTTCTTTCTTCCACAAACTTTCCGACTACGCCATCATCCTCTCTCTCCCCTCTCTACCTAGTCACAAAGTCTAGGTAGGCAAGATTCTCCTCTCTCTTACCCCAACTACCTCCTAGTCAAAATATCGACTTCTAGACCACAAATTGACTCACTCAAATCTCCCATTTTCTGACTTGTTTCCAGAATCCAGCCAAACAAAGCTAGCAGAAAAATTCCAAGATGGAGAATTCTACGCGATCTGACGCTTCCAATATCTATCGTGAGCATTTTCAAGTGGACATTATCTCTCAAATTCTAGCTTCGCTAATCCTAGTTGACGTTTTGCGTCTTTTGCTTCTTATCCGCATTATTATTTTCAAGGTATGATTATGGTCCATGACATGGCCTCCAAAACCCCAGCGTACGAGCAATACCTCCGCGACGAAGCGAAGAAGGACCTCTACGTGAACACTGAGGCCAAGATGGCCGCATTGAAAGACCTGGCCGCGAAGCAATTTGCGCCGAAAACTTCAATCAACCACCCCAGGCTTTGGATCTTGCGGATGCGGGATGATGCTGCCCTTCAGAATCTTGGCACTCCTTCCATTCCACGCTCGGACCACAAAGGTAAAACTGTCCCCAGGTGAATCAGCTCCACTATTTTGGCGGCGAATTGTCATTTCTGTAACTATCTTTAATGGAATGTATCTCCTATGTACTTTAAATCTTGGAAATTGGAAATTATTTTTAACCGATCTTCTTTTGAGCCAAATGTGATTTCATTCTTTATTTTCTCTCCCAAAAATTTCAACCAATTGAAGCTCTAATTGGGCACTCATCACAGTGGTACAGTACCAGTTTGTCGCGGTAAAACTTTGTTGCCAGCTAGAATGGGGGGAATGGTTTTTTGTGAGGTTTTTTCACAAATCCTTGAAATTTGGATAAACAGTATCAAACCTAATTATGATGCATTCCTTGAGTGGGAAGGTTTTAAGAAGGGATGCCAGCAGTGTTCAGTTACTGCATGATACAAATTCTGGTTGATTGCTTTATTTTAAATATCTGCCATTACCAGATAATGCAAGTTTTGGTACATGATTGTAACTGGGGTCCCCCCACCCCTGGAGAATAAAGCAATTCAGATCCACAGCTGCAAGGTCCCAAAAATGAGGAAAATCTCTTCTACTCGAAAACAAACACCAGCCACCATATGTGTTTGGCAGTATTTTAAGTGTACAAAATTTTAAAATTACAAAATAGATCTAGCAGTGATATGTAAGAGTCAGAACTCTTCACTGATTCTGAAGTCAATGGGTGGCAGCAGTGAGCACAAGGCTAATAGCCAAGGTTTTCTAGAACCAAAGTGGATAGTTTTTCTTTCAAACTAAAAGGACAAGAGAAAAATCTGTTTAGGTGAAGGAGAAGATAGTCTACTAAATACAATCTGATCAGGTACTCTGCTTGGTGTGAACTTGTGAAGCCCAAGAGACAAGGGGGGTTTCAAGTGATACACCTGCCATGGTCATTGCTAACTATCAGGAAAATATTGATACTATAAATTAATTTTACATTGTTTTCAAGGGTGAAATGGCTATTCATTTTTAGGAATCTATCCACAATACTTATATCCAAATACTCATTGCATTGGAGCAACAGTGGGCCAGTTACACTAACCGTAGTGTAGTGCAGCGTAGTGTAGCTTTAGCTACGCTACACAAAAGTACTGTTAGCAGGATTTCGACACTACACTACAGGATTTTGAAAAAA